GTAACAGAAAAGGATATGTAACTCATGTAATGAAACAGATGTTCTCAGATGTTCATGAGAGAATAGGATATAGAACGTAGTTTGAGATAAGTAAAATCCCAAAACAGAATAGGCCTTGTGATAGTTAAAGAATTGGCCTTGAAATGGACAAAACTGGGATGATTCTAGGTATCTATGAAATAATAAGGCTTATTTTTGGAATATAATGCTGGCTTCTATATAACACAAGACTTGGGGTGCATGTGCAGCCTGTGGGGTTGTTCAAAGGACAGTGATGATGATAAGAAGCTTTGGCTGGAAGCGACCACCGAAAAGACAAGAAGACCCCTTAGCAGCAGGTGGAGCATGCACTATGCAGTATAGGGATGTAGATTTCAAGAATTGAAAATAGGAGGAGATTTATAGAAAATATTGATGAATATGTATTACCATACAGTATAAAAGCTGTGTTTGGATTCCTTTGTTTCTTGTATGGGAGGCAGGGTGAGAAAAACCCTTCCCATACCCCAATCAATCGGTTTTGCTTATGCTTTATCCAAGCCACTGCCAGATTTCTTTCTGTATCTGCTTGATTAAATTTGATTGTATTATTTTATATAAAATTACTGCTCAATTAAAACTGCTGCTAAATCTTAATTTTGTGGTTTATTAAATTAGACATAGAAGACCTCATTCATAACATATATATAGGGAGTGAACTTACTTATAAATACTTATACTTACATTTTAACATACAACAGTAATAATTACAGGGAGTTTGGGGTAATTTGGTATTACTTAGGTAAAGCAGATATATGATGATTAGAGATGACACAAGGCACATGAAGTAGGGCTTTTCCTGAAGAGAAGATTAGAAGCCGCAGGAAACTATTTTTTCTTTCTTATATTAGGACGAAATAGTATGATCGTACCCAATTACCTTATCTAGACAAAAAAAAGAAATCCTTTATATTGTTACTTAAAACAAAGGGGCCACATGAGGATTCTAACTTCAGACTTTACCACTGTACCTGTTTAATTATACAAGATCGTTTAGTTAACACTTCCATTTAAACAAATATACAATTTATATATTAATGTTTTAAAGACTAATCATTATTCTTAACTCAAAATACATACCTTCTATTTTTTTCCAATTTCATTCTATATTCACAAAATCATGATCCACCTACCTTTCATAAGGTAGGTAGAATTTGCCCTATAATCACTGAAGTGAATTGTTCTTTATTTTCTCTTTGCATTATGATTAATAAAAAGAATCTTTTTGAAGAAAAGCCTACTCTTTTTGGAGTGGCTTTGTTGAACTCTCATGATTTACCAGCTAATGCTTAAGGGTGAAGAAAGAGCAACAGCAGCAATCCAATTTTTGAAAGAGGCTGAGAGCAGATGTAGATTTGGCTACAAGTTATCTTTGCTTTTCCAAAGACCATCTCCTCTTTTGTCCAAGAAGGAAGGGTCACACTACACAGCAGCATCCAAAATGTTAAAATATTCATCAAACAGATGATCTGTTGTTGAATTCTAAATCCTCTGGTTTTTATATCATGATTGCCCCTGATTGTTCTCTCTCCAGTTAGAGGACTGAAAGCTTTCAGAAATTATTGGTGCCAAGTTTATTGACTCTTTTTATGGACCAGTATATACTTGCTCACAGGGTGTTATGTATCACATGTTCACCAGAAGTGGAAATGTGACTATTTAAAAGCACTGTTAATATGGAATGACTTTGCCCTGAGGAAACAATGAATTTGGAAAGAGAATTGCCATGCCAAAAATCTTGGGTTACCTCAGGTTGTAAGGGGTTTGAAATTCAGGAGATGAGAAAATTTCTTAAGACAAGGAAGATGAATCATATCAGATGTAACAAATATGCTGAATGATATATTTTCAGAGATCATTGTCTGTAAATCTAGAGGGATCATAATGATAATCTAATCTATTATATACAATTGCAATAGGACTCAACCTAAATGCAATCCTGAATAGCAGAGATATTTTAATGTTTATTTTGAACGTTCATTCGTTCTCATTTTTAATTCACTAATTTAGAGTGCAGCAGGAAAAGAGAATAACTGCCTGCTTGGTCATATGCTGCTTCTAGGTGTGGGGTACATACAGTACAGGAAGGGTCAGGCAGAGCCACAGCTGCACTTGGCAGGTACATGCCGCAAGCAGGGCAATTACCAGTGGCTCTACTGGCAGTTACAAAGTTTTAGGGCTAAAAAGTGGTTACAAATATAGCCTGATGGATATGAAAGTTTTTTAACAAGTAGGTTTTTAGAAGAATTAAAGTTCATATTAAATAGAACCAATACCAACCTGTATCTATGATCAATAAAGCAAAGTCTCAAAGCAAGGTCATGACCTCTTCAGTGAGACCAGGCAATATAAAAGGTAGGAAGGCCAACAGAAACCTTCCTTCTCTCATTATTTAGCTTGTAAAAAACTGTGCACCCTTGACTTCATAATGTCTAATTAAATTAATCCACAATGATAACTTAGGGTAAGAGTGAGGATTGCAGAATAGGTACAGCTGACCAATTAATAAATTACATTAAAATAATGTGGGCTAACTCTTCAAAAAAAAATGAAGCTCAACCTCAAGATTGATCAATTAAGTTTAGCCTAACTACCCATACAGCCTAAGTACAGGCTCACAGAAGACTGAAAAAAGATTTTTAATTCAGAGCTAGTCTAAGGAGAAATCTGATAGCAATCACAGATAAACAAGAGCAGAGACCAAACAAGGCATCCCCCTAAAACTGTAGGAGAATAGTCTGGAAAAATTCAGTGAGAAAGTCTTTGTAAACAAAGTTGTTAGAGCATTAGATTAATCCAATTTATGAGTACAACCAAAAACTTAAGGTATAGTCTGACGTGCCCTTTGATCTTACCTTGTGAAGCAACCTCTCTGAAAGGCAGCTGTACTGAAGAAATAAATGGAAAACAAAAGTGGTGCTGAAGCCACAAAAAACTCAGGTTTTCTTGGAGGAATAGAAAAGTTCGAAAGAAGGGTATTACATAGCAACAGTTTGCGACAAAACTCTAAAAAAACTTGCCGGAAGAATAAGAAGTGCATTGATATGTACAGGTGGGTATGTAAATATATAAAAAATAGAGTTTGCAAATTTGTAAATTTGAGTGTCTTGAAATACCAGAACATTAGTTTCAAACAAAACAAATGGAAGCCTGGTAGGGACAGGCTAGTGTTCTTTGAGTCTGTAATTAACCTGTGTCTGATTTGGGAGAAGAAAGCCACCTGGGAGGATAGAGGTTTCGACTCAAATAGTGATACAGCTGAATGAAGCAGCTGAACTCCATTTGCTTCACGTTTGCCATAAGGATTGTGTGGAAGTCAAACTTTCACAATCTCTAAATGAAGGCCAGATCTTTCAAAAGCCCCATTTGTCCCCTGTTTCTGCTAACTGAACTTGGTACGGTTGGTAATTGCAGATGGAGCCATAAACTTGACACATTAAAAAGGTGTATTTTGCTGAGCAACAAAAAATTATGACAATACAATGTAAATAGCTGAAAAACTTTAACGCCCATCTGAAAAATTAGGATGAAAATTCTGAGACTGATTTATCCTACTCAACTCAGTGAAAATCTCACTTGAAAACCTTCCCTTTCAAAGTATCACACCTCTGACAAAAAAATTTAGTCTGGCAGGTTTCCAGATTGATTTTAACAACAACAAAATACTAGGATTACCTATCAGTCTTTTTGCTCCTTGCTGGCTTTATGCTAGCTGCATTTCTCCACATTTTGTTTCCCTCCACAGTCTGTGTGCTTGAAGCCATTGTGGGGATTTACGTTAGTCCTTGTGCAGGGTTTTAACTAGGCTGCACTTTGTCACAGGCGACTGACGAGTGTTCACGCTGCAGACTTGCTGTGGATGCTTGGAGCTGTGAAACGCGCACGTGGTAAATGGCCGCTTTCCCTACGCGGGTGTGCAAGCATTACTTGCCTGGGCAATCCATCTGCCTGCCTTGGGAGAGTGCCTAGTGTAGCTCAACAAAAGCAAGCCAAGTCTCAAAAGAAAAGACTGATAGCTGCAGCAGAGCATTTCTGCAGCTGAAATCTTATGCTGGTAACACGGACACAGAATCCACACAACTGTCTGGCAGGCTGCTGCGCTCTCTAGAGGGAACTCATAGCAAGGGAAGCTGTATTCATTCCCAGGGTATTAATGCATTCCCAGGTGACTGTTGGAACAGTGAAAATGTTACAGATGTTGATGGTACGGTGTTTCAATAAAATACACGGAAAATTGGCTGAAGAGATGCTCTTTGGAACAAAGCACATCGTTTTCTTTACTACTTGCCAGCTCATTTACCAGCCTTTCTCCCCATTCTCTCTCAGACCCATTTCTCTTCAGCCTTTCAGTGCCAGTCTATGCCAATACCAACACATTCGGAAGATAGTAACACAAAACAGAATCTGATAACTAGTGAATATATGTGCAGACATAAGAGAGTGTAACACAGAAGAATAAAATTATTACTAGGGAACATCAGATGGTGGAAGATATGATGGCAGTTATAGGAGTTCCAGGAGGATGTTTTCATTAATGAATAACAAAAAAAAGGTATATTTAGGAAACATAAAATAGAAAACTATATAATATAATATATTGATATATTATGAGATTAGTACTACCAAGTGGATTAAAAAGGCTTTGAAATAATAAACACAGTCCAACTGTCACTTAAAAAAAAAAGCATACAGAAAGAGTGGCATCTCTGTGTCCACAGCTTATATCAATATTTAAAAAGAGAATCACTGACTTACAAATAAAAATCCTTTTTTTTTTCTTTCACAGAATGTGAGCCATATGATATTTATTATACTATATTAAGCTGAACTGATTTTACCTATTTCTGTAAGTTTTAAATTTCTGCTAACAGAACTACAGTCTACTCTATCTTTTATACAACACCAAACCCTTTACAGGAAGGTAAACATACAGTAGGAACAGATTTAACTGCAGTACTTACTTTTGCCTGGTAATGAAATGTTTGTTGACCCATGCCAGCTCATGAATGCTTCCTGAAAAAGGACTTGAAAATCCAGCATTTCAAAGTGTTTCTCATATATTTAAAGAAGGAAAAAATCCAGAAAGAAAGAGGGGGAAAGACCAAAAAGAAAGATAAACAAAGAAAAAGCCTGTAAGCTTTAGAGCTCTGACTGCAAAATATTCAGCCTGGCAGCTCTGGGAGAAATACAACTCTGTGTACTTGTACATGCTCACCCCATTAGAGGAGGAGTCAGTTTTGCAACACTTATGTTCCTTGCTTCAGCCAAAACAGTGATTCTCTTCAGTGCAAGCAATGTCTGTAGTGTGATCGCTGTAAAGGTGAGAGGTGTACTCTGGAGTGTAGGAATGCAGCAGCAGAAAAAGAATAATTGGGAGCATCAGCTACATACTCTACAGGTTGTTATGATTCCTTTTGAATGTTTATTGCCCATGATTTTTTTTTTTCTGAGGGAAACCAAATACCCCTTCAACATAAACTGTTTCCATAATGGTTTTTGTGTACCAGTAGTTAATGTTTTATATTTTAGAATAGCAGATTTGGTTTTTTTACAACAGAGTGAAAGGCGTTGGCTTTACATCAAAAAGCTGATTAAACAGAAGGGAAATTTTTTTTTTTTTTTTAGTTTTGAGAGCTATTATGCAATAAAGCTTGAATTTTACTAACATAATTATTCAGTAGTCATCTAGCTCTACTTAACTAAAAACATTTTTACATATTCTTATAAATGCTTTAACTGAATCATATTTTTATATTCTCTGTATTCAAGCCAGTGAACTGAATATAAACTGAAATGTGTGTATGTATAGTGAAGATACCTTTAAAGAAGAAGACTGAACAAGAAGCCTCTTTTTCATAGTGAAAAGGGATTTCAGGGGTGTGGATGCTATGTTGTTACTTGAGACAAGCCTCTCCAATCAAAGTCAGAATTGCTCACATCTTGTGACCAAATGGACATTCTGCAGACTATTCAAAACAATTGGTAATCATAAGAACAGTGTCTTGTCAAGCATTTGTGTTCCTTGAAAAATGTTTTTAGGTCAGGAGTATGTGCCTTGTGACCTATCAACACAGAAATTATAAAACTTCAGGGGTACTCCTTGAGTGGAGTTTGGCTGTGCTAAGCACTAGCTGCTGCTCAGAAGATCAGTGTCAGACTACACTTCCACTTGCAGAGCTCCCATCATGTGTGCTGTGTTATCCATTTGACTCCATGGTCAGACAGCATAGGAAGTTCAGCTGGTGCTGGAAGACAATTCCTTTTTTTTTTTTTTCCCTTCTTCTTATTTGTAAACCTCTGAACAGGCTCACTCTGAGATCAAACAAATGCTAGAAACAGAATGTATAGGTGGCAGAAAACACTCAGCTGATGGTATCCCTGAAATTTATCATATGCCCATAGCATTCAGCCAGCTCTGAGCAAATTCTACCAGTGACTGTCTGAGTTGAAAGGGATAAAATTGCTCCTGATAAATAGGGAATAGTTGCTTCAACAGATGCTATCACCTTAAAAATAAGAAAAGGAACACAAAGTAGAATCTAATACATATTTAACCAGTTATGTAGCAGGCAGTGCCCAGTTGTCTTATTTCTGCATCTGCTTGACTCTGCTAAACACAAGCAGATCAAAACAAGGAAGAGAGAATGTGAAAGCTAAGATTTGTATAGGGAGGAACTTTTAAAATGAAAGTGAATGAAGAAGTATTACTATTACTGTCATAATTTCTATAAGAGAAGGATACATTGTTAAGGTCTGCATGTACAGTTCTGCCTATAATCAAAACAGGATTTATAGCCCTAGAATCTGAATGATGGGGAAAACGTAACAAAAAGTAAAACACTAATGGATTAGTAGTGAAAGATGAGGAGTAATAGTGAAGAACTAACACTGGGATCAGTAAAAACGATAACTTAAGACATTTATACCTGCGCTATCCAGGTCATAGCCAGCTGACGTAATGCAGCCCTGGTAACTGTGGCAGCAGGCAGGCAGATAGCTCTTAAATATTTCCCCATGATTTTGAATTAGCTTTTTCAGCTTTTAATGAACACTGTGTCCCTGTGGCTATACTGCTAGCAATATTGTAGCCAGTCAGGCAAGTCAATACAAGCACACTCAGCCTCTGGTGGAATACTGCCAAGAAAAGGCAACTCTGATCCTAGGAGCACTGGATTAAGGTGACTATTTTAAGGTAGTAGTAAAATCCCATATGCACAAAAGACAGGTCACTTACATTTAAAACAGTCTTTCAAATCTCTTGTTTACTCAGAAGAAAAGGAAGGTCACTCAGATGATGTAAAGGCTGTAAAGCCTAGCTATTAAAAGGTAACTGACAGAACTTGGCTGGGTTAGTGTGACAAAGTAAAGGTTGAGACAGAAAATGAAACAGGCACTTACATGTCCCCATAAAGGTAATGTATGTCTATAAATATGAAAGAGAGTAAGCACTGGAAAAGTGCAATAGCAGTTTAGGCTAATGAACAATGCTGGAGCAAAAAGAGCAGGTAGAAACAGAGCACACATAAAATCAGACAGTAAAAGGATACTAACCACTGGGGCATGAAAAATTGAAGTAGACTTTCAGAAGGGTAAAAAAAAAAAAAGCACAACTACTTCTGGAATAGATCTTGGCCAGTCTTTAAAGGTATTATCAGCTTGACTCATCCCATCTCATACAATTTACTGGTGTATCAATTTCAGAAATCTGGTTTAAGTTAGGATTTTAAGTTGCCTAATCATCAACAGAGGAAAATTCCTCTGTGGCTGATCTAGAAGCATAACTATTTTGTTTCTAGAGATCGATTAATTAAGAAGAGTTTGTAGGCTTGGAATTTGTTAAAATAACCTACTAAATTCTAAAAAAAAAAAAAGTCTGTAACATCAATATGTCACTTAAGGAAAGCAAGATTTAGTAAATTAAGAGTGCAAGGGCCTAACTTTATTTTCAATGTAATGACATTTGTATCAGTATAACTGCAATAACCTGAAGTTATTCTGCATTGGAGCTCCATCAGAGTTCTGACATTTAGGCAGAACAGGAAGCACATGGGATCAGAAGAAAGGCAGGAAAGAAGGCAAAACTTGGAAGAACCAGTCAAAGAAATCAATAAGGTTTCAGGAAAAAGCTTTACAGGTGGGTAAAATGTGAAAAGGAGCATGTCAGGTAGTGAGGGGCATTTACTTTGGAGGAGTACAGAGAGAAGACTGCAGTCTGTTTTTTGCTCTCCTACAGCTCTTACCTATCAAAAACTCAGCCTTCCTTGGAGAGTCGCTGTTGAAGGGTTGTGGCAGTTTTGCCACTGCCATTCCTCACCCCCTCAGCAATTCAAGGAAAAAAAAAAAAGACAGCAAAGGAAATCAAACAGGAAAACAGAGCAACCCTCTGTTTTTAAATGTAGAAACACTCTAAGAAACAAAATAAGAAGCTATGGAACTACAGAGGGAACAATATTTTTTCTGCTGCTGTCTGCTTTCTCAACAATGACCTCCTCTGAAGATCAGCTGCCAAAAACATCTGATGTGGCTTTCTCTAAAGACAAAATGTACTTTCAGGACATCTGTTATACAAGAAAATACATGGCAGGTGCCATGGCTACTCAATTCCTCTCAGATGAGCAGCGTGTCTCTAAAGTCCTGGCCTTCTCAACACATAGAAAGCTCACCCAAGAAGTACAGCAAGGAACCCAGAGGACCAGGATGTCCTTAGCACAATGGTGATCATCCTTTTGCCACTGCTGTAGCCAATGCTATCTGAGAAAGGCCTAATGATGGTTCTTGTTTACCCAGAATTGCTCCTAGGCCAGCAAGTCCAGAACACTCTGCATGTATTTCATGTCATCAAAAATATATTCCTTGTTCCTGGAGTTTTGGTATTAGCCACAAAGCACTGATGCTGGTTTATTTCAAATTTCTGTTCTTAACATGTACCACATTTCCAGTCATAATGTCTATGAGTTTTCTCCACATATCCTTTGTGCCTCTTGCAGAAAAACACAACCACTGCAGGAGCCAGGTCTGTGTGACACTATAATCCTTCTCCAGCTCTCAACAGCAGTCTCCACTTAGGTTAGTTTATTATTGCACTCCTTTTCTTGGGATGTGGGAGACTGCCACTTGCTTCAGAAATCCCCAGTCCTTCTACTCTCAGAACAGCTGGTGATCTTTGCATTACCACGCAGTGGATGCTCCCACAGGGATCTCAGTTGATATGACCTCCATGTGCATGGATCACACTGGCAAGCAGGAGCCAGGCAGCCATGACAAGCCTCAGGATCACAACTGTCACCTCAGTCATCACCTTATCACCTCAGGTGCAACTGATGGTTGTAATGTGGAGGCTGACAGGAGCAAAGGAAGGGAGACTGCTTGGTCCTAAAGGATCTGGCACTTTCTGGGTGAGCCTGTCATGTGAGTGTGACATGCAGAACTTCTACCAGGAGTGAGCACATATCTTGCATAAAAGTTGTCCATCAGTTAGTGAAAAATACTCCACACTTGCTCGAGTCTTCAGCCACTGCAACTCATGATCCCTGTTGGTGTAATAGAGAAAATGGGTCTCCTAGCAGGTGAGGGACAATTCAGAGACCCAACTAACAGTGTTGAAGAAAACTGAAATTTTTATAAGGCCTGAAAGAATTAATAAACAAATGAATTAACCAAGTAGTTTAGCCTTACAGAAGTTATTTTTATATTATTTTTTCTTTTGTTTTGAAACAGAATGAAATGATAAACTCATCTCCAGAATTTAAATAAGAAATGTAGCTGCCATCACTGAGAGCTGCTCTTCAGGAATCATCCTTGTCTTATGATGTTCAATATATATACAATACACTTTGATACATATTTTTAGTACAGACCATATATTAAAATACAGACTGTACATATATATATTGTATATATATATATATATATATATCATATGCTAATTCAGGCTTGTATCCCTTGCCTTATAAAATTCTTTTGAACAAGGCTGTAATGTTCATTTGAGTTTATCTGTTAATACAGATAACTTTTCTAGGCTGGGATCACTGTATGATGTGACAGCTTTCTCCTTCATTAAGCCAAGCTTGATTACTTGACTACCTTCTAAAGAAATTAATGAAATGTTCCTATTTCTTTTAATTGCCTATTTGTAAAAAACCCATAGCTTTCATGGATGCTTTCACTGAGTGTCTCATTCTCTTGCAGCTGGAACATAGTCCATTATGGTTATTATCAAAACAAAATTGGATCATAGTAGAAGAAATGCAGATTGCATCCTCCACTTGTATTTAAATTTATTATTTCTCATAGTTCTGTGCCAAAAGTTCTAACAGACCAATTTAAACATGCAGAGAAGGAAAAAAAACGTGAATTCTATTTATTTTCTAGAAATATGTTTTATATGTTTTCTTCTTGTAAGAACATTCATGAAAGGACCATAACATTCTTCTCAACTAAAATTTTTTGCTTAAATTATTATCAAAACAATTTTTATATCACAACAGCTTGGTTGATGTGATATGTGTGTGTATATATATATATATATAACTATATATATATATATATATAACTATAACTATATATATATAATCAGTTATATATATATATATATATATATATATATATATATATATAACTATAACTATATATATATAATCAGTTATATATATATATAACTGATAAACAGTTATGCCATGAACACAAAGTAGTATTTATCCAATTAAATGGTATTGGTAGTATTGATAGTTAAATGAGAAACCAGCTAACCTTTCCAGAGCTTAAATGTTTTTCTTTCTCTGATCTGTATGTGAAGTTACACTACACAACAAGTAATTTCTTACTGGATATTTGTACCATTACAGAAAGCCTATTTGCATTTCTAAACCAGAATGCATTTCCACAAAGCCCTACATCTAATTAACACAGTATGTCCAACAGAATCTCACATTGTCTGAAAGTACAAATAGAAAAAGAGGTGGTTATAAAAACAGGCTTTCAAAGGACTTGTCTCCTACTTATTTATATCTCAAACAGATTAATCTCTTATTACATTCTAGGAAATTGTCTCATCCATTTTTGTATGGCAGATAGAACTTTTTAAAAGACACTAAACACAAACAATACTGTATTTCTAACTTACATGACTGCCTTATGAGCATTAGCTGTAAGAGTGTGTGTGTGTACTGCCTTGTATTCTTATATTTTATGCTCTTCAAATGCAAAAATACTAGAACCTCATTGAGTTGTTTGATCCCTAAATCAATCAGAAAATTTAACAGATGGGGACATGTATGCTACATCAATGAAGTATGTAATATGTAGGAGGTAGGACCATGACTCCATTCAGATATGAACTTGGCCTAATGTACATGGCATGCCATTCTACTGATGGCCACTGATGGGCAGTGCCTCTGACTGCTGTTTAATCATAAGCATCCCTGCAGTAGAATGGCTGGCTACTCAATTATGAGATGTATCTATATTAGAAGAAAACTCTTCCGTAAGAATTTTTTCCAGTAAGTATATTAATACCATTGTGAAATAGAAATACGCCCTCCCAAAAATATATTGCTATTCAAGATCATGCTATATGATTATTGAGAATCATACTGCTGTATAGGTTTGCATGGCAAGGGTTTGGTAGTGGGGGGCTACAGTGAGCAGTTGTCAGGACCTTTCCCCATGTCCAACAGAGACAATGCCAAACAGACCCAGGATGAACCCACTGCTGGCCAAAGCCAAATCCACCAGTGACAGCACCACTTCTGGGATAATGTATTTAAGAAGGTGGAAATATTACTGCCAACCACAGCCTCAAGAGAGGATTCAGAGTGTGTGAGAGGAACAGTGCTGCAGACACAGGGTCAGTGAAGGAGGAGGGGCATCAGCTGCTCCAGGAGCCCTTGATGCAGCCCTCGGTGAGGCAGCTCTGCCCCTGCAGTCTCTGGAGGAACCCACACCACAGCAGACCCCATGAGAGCAGGTTCCTTGGCAGGACCTGTGACCCTCTGGGGGACCCATGTTGGAGGAACCTTCCTGATGGACTATACCCTGTGGAAGGGGGTTACGACTAGAACAGTTATGGAGAACTGCAGCCCATGTGGAGGATTCATATTGGAGAATTTTGTGGAGGACTGTCTTGGACTGTCCCTGCTCCAGCATGGGAGAGACCCTGTGCTGGAGCAGGGGAAGAGTGTGAGGAATGGCAGAGACAATGTGTGGTGCAAGTGACCATAACCCCCATTCCCCATGCACCTCCTCTGGTGTGAGGGAAGAAGTAGAGAAATCAGAAGTGAAGTGGAACCAGGATAGATGGGAGGGGTTGAGGGAAAACATTTTACTTTCATTTTCCTTTATTCTTCTCTCATTTGATTGGTAATAAACTAATTTTTTCCCAAGCTGAGTCTGTCTGTCATTTGCCCATGACAATAATCACTGCTTGATCTCTCCCTGTCCTTATCTTGACCCATGAGCTTTTCATCATATTATCTAGTCCCTGTCCAGCTGAAGAGGGGAATGACAGAGCAACTTCAGTGGGTACCAGCCATTCAAAGTGTATGACAGCATGTAGTGGGTGGCCACAGTCAACCCACTACATGCTGTCTCAATATTTGAATAATCACTGTTTCAGATGAGCTGTATTTCACTACTTCTTTAGTATTCTTTAGATTAACCAGAAAGCTGCTAAGTTTTACCATATTCTCTTCCTCAAGTAACTCTTACTGGCCACAGCTGGAGAAGAGATAGTGATGGATGTTTCATATGACACAGCATGAATGTTTTCCTAATCGTATTTATTTAGCACAGTTTAAATCAAGAAATTACAACAACAGGAGGTATGATGCATCTTTTCTTCAAACACATGAATCTTCTTAAGCCTACTCCACGGAGATCACCTGAAGGAAGGCATCTTTGCCACCATTAACTAGCTGATCTTTCAGAAACTAGAGAAAAAAATACATGGATCCTAAACCGGAAATTTTGAAATAGCTCCCTCCCATCAAGACTATGCAATTTCCCCCTTAATTATTTTCTACCAAGATAATTTAATTGTTAATCAGAATTATCAGGGGGCACTGATTCACCTTTTAATCAGAATCATATCTTTTAGCTGGAAGAAATCACACAAAGACCATTAGTACATTAAAAGCATTCTAGGCTATCAGTTTAATACTGACATAATTACTAATAATTAATCTTCACTTAGCTCTCCTTTTTTCTGTTGTGTTTCAGGTTTGTTTTTTTCCTTTGCACTGTGAGTCATGGGCAGAAGTGCAAGAGAAAACAACTTTTCTTTCTAGGATGCAATCCAGTTCTGCATGTGATGGTTTGTTAACAAGAAACAAATAGTTACAAGGAATAAGTCATGCTTTTAACTGATGCTGTTCCATTATAATCTTTCAAAACCAGAAGAGTGTTTTAGCAGTGGGGTATCACTACTTTGATTTTGAGCTTTTTAAACTGTATATTAACACAAAGAACTAAATTCTGTAAAGAGAAAAGAAACAGCCATGTAGTAGGAAGCTAGTAATGGAAATGTTTGTGACAATTGTGACAAACCACAGACTGAAAAGAAGGAGTCAACACATGGAACTTTACAATGATACCACCTGAAGAGAGAAATTCTGGAGACTGGAAATACAGAAATGTCACATAATTTTGACAGGTCATCCGTGAGACACAGCATACAGAACAGAACTCAGAAAAGCT